ATGAATGGCCCACACTATCACGTGTCAGAGGGTCACACACGGGTGGCAATGGGTGTGGATAGCGGTTACGGTGAGGCACCATGGGCAGTTTATTTGAGATTCAAAAAGTGGAGATTTCAAAAAGGTAACTTTTGTGGCGGTATATTAGTGGCCAATACATGGGTCCTAACGGCTGCCCATTGTTTCGATAGGTATGCTGTGATGGCATCACTTGAATATTAATATACCATAAGATGAGACAATTTATACGACAATTAGGGGTAAGAAGAGGACACTAACGGTGATCGCTGGCAACCGATGGCTCGTAGGTATGGACAGTCGTCTTAGGGATGATATCTTCATTCATGACGATTATAATCGCAATAAGAGCTATAATGATATGGCTTTAGTACGACTGGTGTCTCCTTTTACGGACATCACTGACAAAGTCTACAAAAATCAATACATTATAAACACTATATGTCTGCCGAACGAGAATCAAACCAATAGTAACGAAGAGTTGGCCACACTTTACGGTTTTGGTTACATTAATAATAACTATTATCGACATAAATATCTACAGAAAGGGGAACTACTATTACAGGCGGCCGACGATTGTTTCGGAGGAAGGGATGGTGTCATCTGTTCTTCGTATGCCATATCAAACAGATCCCAATCATGTGCTGTGAGTTTGCATTTGTTTGCTATGTTTTTGCCAATTATTCGTATCTTTGTGTGTATCTAAAGGGCGATTCGGGTTCGGGTTTAGTTCAATACACCGACAAATACCAGTCCCGGGCTATACTTATAGGGACAGTGAGATCGGGTGTGGGCTCTCCCTGTGGTAACAAGTTTTCATATTTTCTTTCCGTTTCCAAACAAATTCATTGGATTTTAAAGACAATCAAAAAATATAATAAGATTATATAACATATAAATTATTAATATCTAATCCAACAAATTGTAGAACAACAAAATATGAATTGATTTTTCTCGTAATAACCGAGAGCTAAAAAGTCTATGTTATGCATAGACTGCTGTATCAGTACAAATGCATTGCAAGAGACAGAGACATTAATGAAAACAGGAATTAAATATTATGTATGCTTTGAATGTAGTTTTAATAATCAAAATTAACTTTTGATACAAATATGCAATTTATCAATGAATACAACAATCAAAACGTTATAATAACAGCTATAATTGAATTCAAATGCCATCAAAAGTGTTAACTATTGAAACGTTAATTATTTGTAATTCAAATCCTAACTGAAAGTTGTTTAAGAATTGATTGATTGATATATAAAACCAGAAGAATGGGTGACCAAGAAGTGAATCGATTGCTGATCCCAACGAACACTCATATCGTGAGGACGGGTCCTATGGATACAACGGCCACCGTCTCTATGGTGTACAGAGCGGCCGAACACCCCTTGGATGAGCCCGAGTCCGTCCAACCCTTACCTTTCGGTCACTATTACGACCAAAGCGTTGAGCCGACCGGCGATGAAGTGTTGGTCACTAAACCGGTCATTGGATGGACAGAAGAGATCACTTCCGGTGCCGGCTATCGGACGCTACTCTTCAACAACCGAGACATTCAACCATCGCTTCCGATCGCAACCGACGTCTTCACTGACACCATATTCCCGGTCCTCACGAAGGGATCCAACGCTTTACCGCTGAGGGATGACTTGCAGATACCGATCAATGTCTACCAAAACACTGTCCAACTCTTCCTAATGGAGATCTTAAGTGAATCTCATGACACGGCTGTCGTCGCAAACATAGGGGTCAGTGATTCAGTGGAGTCGACGGTTAGGATTGGCAACTATAAGGCAGATCTGCACCTATTCTACACAACTCTGAAAACAGATGAGTTCGCCTTTCAATCGGTGGTCAGACGTGTTGTCGACTTAAGCAACGACTCGTACCCAATGGTCGGCCTCTACGCGGGTCCGAACGCACCGCCCGATCGCCGCCGCATGGCTTGGGATGTGTGGGAAATGAGCGCCCGATTCAGACATTCAGCACATTCTCAGCGATTCTTACAACGGATCGGGTATTTGGTCTCCAAATACGGCCTCTTATGCGTGAATGAGAGGCACAGAGACAAAGCTCTGCCGGATCTCAACACTGGCGACAAGTTTTACCCAAACCTCGCGCCCATCGATACCATGAAAAGTGCGGACGAAATGTTCACATCATTGCTGAAGGAAAGGGCCTTTTGTTTGTGTGATTCCCAACACGTGTACACCGTTGCCGGCACTAAACCGTTTTACTTCAAATACGACCACTCGGGTGACGAGCACTCGGTTCCCAACGCACCCAAAGTTGTGGTCATAGAGGAGGGCGTCAACAGCTTAACGATCAACGCTTCCCAATACGAAGACTATTCTTATCTCGCGTCCAATCTTCTAATGGTCGGTATGAAAGGCTATCCGTTGACTATAGACTGGCATCAGTTTCAGCGGGACTTCGAGCAGACATTAGCCGCGACTGACGCGCGGCCGACAGTCAGCGCACGAATGTTGTTGAATGAGATCAACGACTATATCGTTGTGTCGACTCCCGAATACGACGTGTGTTTCAGTCTTTGTTGGCATTTTCATCGCCATGTTTTTCCACGCGATCCCATATTTATCGATATGTGGAATGTGTTCGTCCGAAAGGCCAGACCGAAGGGAGCTCAGGAAGGGACGGGTGGCGACAGTCTCTTCTATTACTATATGTCTGTTCAGTATTATTTCAAAGCGAGTCGCGATTTCAAGTCAGACAGAGGCGCGAAGTCGGCCAAAGAGTTTGTCAGAGATCACCAGTTCCGCTGTCAGCGTCTCTTTGACCAACACTTGTCCCATATTTATGCGCATATAGTGATGGAAGAGTTCGAGGGCTTTGCGTTCAACAAGTATGGCATCCTTTTGGCGAACAAACGGTTCGCAGAGTTCGGGAACCGAAGCCCTATATCTGTGGCCCGATGTCTATGCATTCAACGCAATCAGATTCTCTTCATACCGACCCTCGACTAGTGGTTATCCGCCACTTCATTGTCTCGTTATTCATATGACTTGTTTTCCCATTATTTTATTTATTTCTCATTTATTTTGTTTCAAATTTATGTTAACATTTTTGCAAATAAAATATTTATTATCAAAATTTTGGTTTTTGTAATCAAAATATAATTGATTGCATTAAAATTATTTTCATTTAAATACAGATATAACTTATTGTTCAGTAAAACTGATCTAGACTTTCAAATACCGAATATTAGTTGTAATTGAATATTAAAACATTGGTTATTCTCATTAATGATTAAAAGTACTAAAAAATAATATCATTAAATTGTGTGAAACGTTAGCTAAAGTTTGATATCTTTGAATAAACTAAAGATATTTATGTAAACATTAATTTCAATGATATTATTTGCCAATACGTCAGTCAATACAATAAATTCAATGCAATTGAATTGAGTGCATAAAAGATGTACCCATTTATGAATGTTTTACAATCGAGATAACTAAACATTTGATCAAATCTAACAATAAATTAAACATAAGTTTGTTTATCGATTAAACCGTTCAAAAAGGTGTTTAAACATTGAAACGATTTATACATTCAATTAAATCACGAATTAATCGCTTTAATAGGAAATGAAAATAAAGTAAATGTTTAATTACTGGTGTTTTGAGCAAAGTATTTAAATGTCAGTAATTAATTTAAATTATTAATTACTATAAAAAGTTTTGAACTTAATTTTCAATAATAATAATCTATGCCAAATAATGTACATAACAATCATTTATGCAATTTTATGCTATTTTGTGATATCAGGTATTTTGACATAAATATCAATTTATATATCAATTAATAAATTGTTATTTACAGTAAAAAGTGATCGAAAAGCAGATCTAAAATGTGTGAACGACGGGAACGCAAAACTTAAAGGTCTAAACGATCAACAATTGTATGATTTATCGCAAAACAATTTAAATAAAGGCTCGGAAATGGTTAAGAAGAGGGTCGGCGTCTCTAAACAGCAACATTTGGACTGTTATGTCAACTTTTATGCCTCATATATACCTAAACTGTCGGCTATTCTTCAGACAAGTCTGAAGGACAGGTTAGCGAAGGCTAAGACTCCGGTCGAGAAGACCGGAGCCCTCAAAGCTATCGGAGCGTTGACTGAATCCGTTATTTGCGACGAAAAGTGGAGAGCAATTCACGCCAACGATAAGACCAAGTGTTCGGCCACTGAATCGTCGACCAAAGTATTGAACGTTAAGTTTGTTAACCGATTGACTGCTTTAAGAGGAGCCATGTTTTTGGGCGGTTATGTCGGAAAGATTAAGAACCCAGTGATGGCACAGATTATCACTGATGTATGCTTTCAATACTTGTTATATATTTTATGATTAAATAATTGTATTGTTTATTGAATTTAGATGAAGACAATGTACACTGGATTATACGAAGAGGGATATAAATGCAGTCAACGCCTGTCCGGCGCTAATAAGTGTCAAAATATGAAGAAATTTGTGTTAGAATTGGAGAGACTTTTCTATTTGGGAGGTCTTTCTATTCAAACAAAACTTCAATAGATTTTTAATTAAAAATTTACAAATAATTGTTTTTTAAATATTTTATTTTAAATTAGATTTGCCTAAAGAATAACACACTTTGAATGAGACTTCTTAGCAATTTTTAAGACTTCACACAATATATTGTCATCAAATCTGTTGTTGATTTCAATTGATCTCAATTTTGTGCATTTCTTCAAAATTGTCTTTATATCTGATTTTTGAAAGACTAGATTTTCGTAAAACCTAATTGACATCGATTGTAGTTTTGATAGTCTTGAGACACAACCCAACCATTTTGTGTTCATATTATTCTCAATATAACAATGAAATGTCTGTAGTATTGATTGTGTGGACAAAATGTCTTTCACCAATTGTGGTGTATATTCCCACAAACGGATGGATAAATGTGTCAAATGTGGCCAACGATTCAATGGCTCTAATTTATTCCAATCGGTTATAGAGTGTCCTCCAGTTCTTAGCATTAACTCTAATCGTTTTAAATGTGGTATAAATTGAATGCAATTCATAATCTCTACATTCAATTCAGTGTTATTTGAGTGAACTCTCAATGAAAGTCGTTTAAGTTTCAAACATTTTAAGCCAATAGTCTTCAGATTATTGTATATTGAAAATTGAAGAATTGAATCATCCACTAAATCAAGTTTCAATTCTTTTAATTCTCTTAATTTAGACAATTGTGCTAACATTTGGGTGACATTTGTCTCCGAGTCCTCCTTTATATTAATCATTAAGCACTCGATAATCTGAAGTCGAGAGGAATAATAGTCGACAAATGCCTTAAATCTATGGCAATTGTATTGAGTGTCGGCCCAATAGAAACGGATGTCTTTCAAGTGATTGAATGCCATTAAGTGATTGTCATTTGTGGTGAACATCAGATCCATGTTTGAAGTGTTTAAAGAACATAAATTGGGAAAGTCTTCTTCATATGGGATCAGTTGGTCGGTATCAATAGACATATCTCTAACCATTGATCCAAAAAGTGTTAATCTCTCATAAACTTGATTATCAAAGATACGACAATAACAAAAGAATTCACTGAAATTAACACACTTTAGATGCGGCCAATCGTTGCGCAACTGATCCATGGCTTGTAGTAATGGTCCGGAATAAGAACCCGATGACCAATGATTATGCGTTATCTTTACAATATTTGGACACTTTTTCTGAAGAAATGCAACAAATTTGAGGCACAAGTCTTGGTTTGATAGATCTACTTCTTTGGCTTTAACGCTTGCAATCAATTCGTAGTCGATATGTATCTCATTAATTGTGTCGTAAATGCATCGCTGGAACTGCTTTGAGACGCATTCGTGTTGGGATCTGCTCTCAAAGCCGTCAAACCTTTCATCGTATGAATGATATGACAACAAAAGTCGTATCAAATCATCGCCGAAGCGATCAAATGAGTCTTTGGCATACTTTTGAGTCTATAGTTAACGGATTTATACCTTTAAATAACTATTATTAACCCATAGGTTATTGATTACCTCTTTACTAGTATTGGTATTATTCCTCGGGTTCTCCTCACATAAACTTCTAAACCAATCACAAAGTCGTGTCATCTCTTAATATCAAACACTTAATAATAACGACTCTTAATCATAACAATAATAATGATTTGAATTTATTGTAAACATTATTACAATTGTTAAGCGTTTGAATTAAACATTTAGTAAATAACTTACAAATCTGTCAATTGTTTAATGTTTATAGCATTTGTACACATTTTTAATGCAAAATTAAAAATATAATCTCAATAATGATATTACATCTCATAATATGTTTAATTAAATTTGTATTCATCAAACTTTATGGGATCTCTTGATTATGTGTTTGTTAGGCACTTCCCGGGCAGGTCTGGTATACGGGTGTCGTTTTTAACGCACTTCAGTCCTGAACAACAGACCTTAGGATCGATGGCATAACCGCCACAAACGCCTCCTTCAGCCGAACACCTATACTCGCAGACACCGATGGCCTCGGGATGTATTGGCTGCTCGTAAATGCATAGCAAACTCTCGCCGTCGCAGCACTTGTATTGTCGGACACCTCCGCACGTGTCGTTCAAATGATGGCATTCCGGGGGCGGCGGTGGCTGTCCATCACCTTTTGGTTTCAATATAAAGTTTTATATTAATTATACAACAAATAAATATAATCAACAAAACTCCATATTTATGGACAGTCATTGAAAACACGATATCATCAAATAGTTTGTAATTAAATCATTCAAAACTTACTGATAGCGCAAACGATGGCAATTAAAATGACTATTTTGTACATTATTTTGGTTTTCATTTTCACTCTATTATACAAATATTATACTATTTTTCACTTTTTAAAACACTTTATATAAGAAACACATTTAAATCGTAAATATGTTGACAAAATAGTTATCTCAAAAAATATATCATACGTTTTGTATAGACCTGAAGATCGTTTGAATCCTGTTTTGTTGTCTCATTAACTCGTATTGAATTATTATTGATTGAGAAATCATTTGGTTTTAGATAACATTTATTTCATAATAAATTCAAGGATTTTAAACTCAAGACGCGATTCAATTGATTGTTTATTATATTAATATTTCAGTAAAAATAGTTTTATTTTTCACATTTTGATCAATGATTTTCTAACTTATGTTTGATATTAACTTTTCATTTTGAATTGACTAAATATTTTGGTTATCATAGACTCGTATTGAATGCGTTAAAACACGTTTACCAGTCATTAAACCCTAGCATAAAATATATATGGATTTATATTTGTATAAAATATAAAAATAGTGTCAAAAATAAGACTTAAAATGTCAACTAAAATGTATAAATATATTCTCAACATTTATTTAGTGATCTATTTTTACAACTATTCCAGCGTTTGATAAGTATTTATATTTTTATTTGAAATATAAGTTATTATTCCATACTTTATTTAAAAATTTCCAACAAAATTATAAATAACATACTTTGTTTGCTATTTAAATAATTATTGTTGATTTAAATGTGTGCCCAAGTGTGATCAAGGTAGAATAAATATAATAAGTTTATGAACAATTCATACACAAATATCATAACATTTTATTCTATGGGTAACTGTAAGTAATTCAAGTTTGTACTTTTTGGTAAAAACCTTTCAATGAACACTATTTTTATAATTATAAAAATCAATTCATTTCTAGATAAATATTTTACTAATTTATACAGTATTAATATTAATAGGTAATAGTATTACCGTAATACAATGTGCATGGTTATATTGATTATACTGAATAATATTCATATTATGTTGATTCCTGTTTCACAATAAGTGTGAGAATATTTACTGCATTAAACAGTGAATTATATTGTGATATAAATGCTATCTCAACCGACACTTAAACATTGTATTATATAATCCTTTTAATATTGATAAGTAGATTATAACTCATCAAGGTTGTGTACACACAGTACATGTTTCTTAACAGCATTTATAAATAATTGTATTTGTTTTATTTTATAATTAAATTTCTATTATGGTTTAATTAATACAAACATTAATTAACAAAATGAAACAAAAAGTCATTATTTATGGCAATAGGGGTTGACATAAGCCGCCGGTCAACGGGTGCTTATGATTGCGAACACATATACCAGCCGGACAGCAATCATTGCGGGCACAGCTATTATGTGATGTCCAGCTGTGGCCCGACACCAGACATCTGCTCCCCAATCCATTACATGCCGGACAACCCGACTATAGATTGAAAACAAATTAATTTCCATTTAATTATAAGTATACATTAATGAACATGTACCTTTTTGCAAACACCACCAGTGTCGGTTATGTTGGGGTTCACTAGATTACATGAATAGCCGGCACAGCAGTCATTTCGGGTGCAATCGGTGGAAAACACTTGACATCTCTGATTCTTTGCCTGACATTTAGGGCAAACGATCGGCGCTGGCGTTGGGTTCTGTTAACAGTATGTAATCTGTTATAAAATACGATTGTTTGCATAATTTGTTGTCCATATATACCATACAAACTCCGCCGACATCTGAAATGTTGGGATTGACGGCACACCACAGGTCACCGCAACAGCCGTTACGGCTACAGGTCGTTGAAAATACAAGACACGGCTCACCGAAACCATTACACGCGGCGCATGTGGTTGTGGTGGTGGGGGTGGGCGTCGGTGGAGGTGGAGACCCGCCGAATATACCGTAATTACCAGTTAGTTGGGTAAATACGCTCGAGATAAAAGTCAGTAATAATATTACCTTAAACATTTTTGTATAAATTCTGGTTTGATTTTAAGTCCGCTTAATATGTTATGTGTTTTAAAAAAAATAAAATATAAGTGCAAAATATGTCTCAAACATTGTGTTAGCAATTTTTTAAATTATTATATTTTAAATGATTCTTTTAATTGCATAAAAAATGTGTATATACTATATTTATCGATAAACTCCATAGTGTAATGTTGAGTGCAATTTATTTAATGAGTTTAAATAAACTCAAATTATTGAAAATCAAAAACTAATTACTAAAACAAATGTTTAGAAACACATATCAATTGAATGCGAATAAAAATGAAATTTTTACTATCATTTTGATTATCATATTATAGATCTCAAGGCTTTCAGATTTAAGACTTTCAATCTTAAAGTATTTCCCAAAAAAAACTTATACGACTCGTTAACACATAAAACACTAGACTTTTCTCAAATGTAAACTCTTTTTCGTATCACTGGCTCTAAAATAATGAAAATACAGTGAAAATAGATCTCACTTTTAATGGGATGTTGTGTTAAAAATAGATGAAATACTCAAACACTTGATTATCAAAGCGAGAGTTACGCCAAGGAATCCCGTTTATGGAGGACTTCAAGTGATGTCTCACTATATGGCACTTCATTAAGACATCCGTTTCATTGAATTTATAGATTTGCAAAATGTTTTAAATCTATTTTAAATAATAATTAGCGTTTGAAATGATAATTAAATGTAAAATACAACTAAAATATAACCAAATATATAATTTGCTAAATAGATGACTGTTTAACTGGATGTTATTTATATAACTAATTATATATTACATAAATATTGCACAATAATTGCCAACATTTTTGCGTCTTGTATGCAAACTAAATGCCAAAATACTAAACGACAACCAAATGATACGAAATGTGTTTGAAATTCAAGAGAAAGATTTCAGCAAAAAATCAAAATATTATAATTATTTAATCAACAAATAATTGTTTTAATAATTGAGTGCTTCTTATTGTGAGTAAAGTCATGAGTCGAGAGCTCTTCAGAACCACATTTATAACCAGAGATTCAAGACTTTTAAAAGTCTACATCACTTGTCAATACTGTATTGCGAGTATGTTTTTGGGTATGTTTTTGGTTTTGTCGGGAATTATGGTCACATCCTATGCCGATGACTACCAAAAGGGAGACAACGGATCCGCAACTGAGAACAAAACCGCCAATTCAAGACTCTTTGGTCTTATAATTGTCATCTCTGGCTGTGTTTTCATAACAATGGCTGTCATACTATTCTTCTTCTCGGCGATCATGTATTTGCGGACGAAGAGTACACCACCGGAAGATAATTGGATCAATTTGGTCGAAGAACAGCCCCACACCACAGACAACATCAACGATGTCGTTGACACTCAAAATGAGGACATTTATGATAAGTGAAAGTGAATTGCAATTCAGACGATATCATGTATTCAATGAGATGTGTGTTTGTCTTGAAATTCATACGTTTATCGTCTGAGACGAGCCGTATCTTAATTGATATACAGATAGTGTTTTGTGTGATTCAAGCCATTAAACACACATATTTTAAAGTGTCTACAGATTGAGAGAATTTTTTGCTGACTTAAACATGTATTTATTGAATTGATGTCTCAAACGAGATATTATTTATTAATATGAATTCCTATGAATGCAATCTTTTGATTGATTTATAATTTATTAATTTTTTTATTTCTCAAAATTCTATAAATATAATGATATTTATATATAATATTACTGTTATCAATAGATATATTTAATTACCATCAATTTTTAATTAATAGACTTAGAATTTTATAAATTTCCTAAATGGGAGTGTTTTTAATTATCCTAAATCATTATGACTACTAACTTAACTGGAATTAAGATAAATTTAAAATATAAATAATTCTTATAATTTCTTAAATATAATCATTGTGTAGAAAAATAAATATCACATATTCTGTATACAGTATTAAACTTACAAAGATGTTTGTTTTATTAAGTTATTTATGAAAATAAAATGTGAAGCAATTTTCAATTGAAATGATGAAAATTGGCGATAAAGACGTTGGGAAACACTTTTGAAAGTTATAAAAAATTTAAATTATAAACCGAAACAACTTTTCCTCATGTGATATAATTTATCGCTTTTGTTAGAAATGCTTACAATTTACTAATCGTCTGACGTTTGAAATGAAATCTTATTACAACTTAAAACTAGTCAAGTGTTGAGACTGTTTTACAGTGTATTTCCAATGAATAGTGTAATGAATATTAAATTCAAAATTCAAGGTTTGCTCCCAATGTGTGGTAATAGACGTGCAGTTAATCGCCAGATATATGACCCGATATGTGACATGTCTTTCATCATCCAGTGGTCCACTGCTCGACATTACTCTTATTAATATACTATTACTTGTATTTAAAGATATATTAGATTTATTCGATATAACAATTAGTATAACAATTAATAAGACAATAGAAATACTAAATCCTTGTTTTGTTTACAAAATTCGTTAATAATTGAGTACACATTAGAAAATGCATTGAATGTTATTAATTGCAAAGAATGTCTATTAATAAATAGTTTAAAAGTGATTTGAATTTTAAGTATTTATTTTTGGCACAAAAAATGCAATAATTTATTAATGAAGAAACATTGAAATCAAGTGACTATCAGAATGTGTTTTAACAAAGTTTGATGACTTTTCACTGTTATCTCTGAATCTAAAATACTCTTTAATATACTTTATAATCAAAAACAAAGCCAATAATTCATTGCGATATTTCTTAACTCAAAGTGTTTGCTCTTATATGAAGTGATAATTTCAATGCAACCAATATATAGTGTACATAATTTAGGGTTATTTAGTTAATGCATTGATATCTAGAATCTAGATAATTTTGATATCACTGTACATATGTATAAAGCACTCAATGATATCCTTGCTAATATCCCGTGTATACTGTACTTTATGTTAAGTTATGAAAAATTAACAAATGTTATGCCCTTTAGGACGAGAGAGAGAGAGAGAGAGAGAGAGAGAGAGAGA